GCTGATTTAAGTCCTTCTAACAGAAGGTTCCTCTTAACTGTTCACTTCCATCTCTGTGGAACCTGACTTCAAAGATATATCATACCAGGAGTGTGTAAAGTTTTGTTGTTTTGGGTAACTGTTTTTTTAAAACTGTTGTTTTAATAACTGTAGGATTCATGTGTTGTAAGAAATAGTGGTGAAATCTCATTACTCTTCCCCCAGTGTCTCTAAAGAAACATCTTGCAAAACTATACTATAATATCCCAACAAGAAAATCGACACTGATATAATCCAGGGACCTTTGGCAGAGTTTACCAATTTTATATGAAACCTGTTGGCATGTGTATTCAGTTCTCTGAAATCTGATCTTATTGTTTCATGTCTATCACCACAGTTAGAATGTAGGACAGTATATGACTTACTGCTTAGAATGTAGGACAGTATATGACTTGCTGCTTTATCATATTAACCTTCTTCCTTCCACCCACACACCTTCATCCACAAGTCTAGTAACCACTAAACTGCTCCCTTTTTCTAGAATTTTGACATTTCACGAACAATTAACAGACTCACATATTGCATAATCCTCCAGGCTTGAATTTTTCTTTCTTACTCTAATTCCCTTGAGATCATCCATGCTAATGCATGAATCAAGTCATTCATTCTTTATTGCTAAACCCATGGCATGGAGGTAAGCAATGCATCTTTTAGGTGTCTTTGTGGGATCAAGAAGATCTGATTATGGATCTAAAGAAACCTTGCTGACTCAAGTGAGAGTCAAGTTCTTAACTTACACTAAATCTATTTCCTCTGTTGTATACTTCTTTCCTTTTTATCTTTTTGAGACAGGGTCTCCCTGTAGCCCCCAGCTGGCCTGGTACTCACTATGTAGACCAGGTTGGCCTTGAACTCAGATCTGCCTGCCTCTGCCTCCTAAGTGCTGGAACCAAAGGTATGTGCCACCATGCCTGGCTTCTCTTCTGTATACTTTTATGAAAAGAATTTGTCAGCCATGGCATATAATAATAAGAGATATAATTCAATAGATTATGTTTGGGTTTATCAGGAGTTAATTATCATTTACTTATTATTATGTACTGTCACTATATGCTGGGGATTAGACCTTACATAGATCAGTTAATTTATCCTTCATACCAACTCAAGCAGTCATCATGAACTAGAGGCCTAGAAATTTTAACTAACTTTCCCATTATCACATGGTAAATGAATGAGATAGTATTGGAACCTAGGTCACATATAGTCTGATGCCCCTGTTGATAAACAGGATGATTTTGAAGGCCAATAGTTATTAAATATTGAATTACTGGCCAATAGGTAATTAACAGACATAGCCAATGGCGGTTCACACACAGGTTTGGGGTTCATCCTCGTGGTCAAGAGGGAGGCATCCGCTCAAGAGTTAATCTTCATGTGTGTTCTTGGGCTTCACTTTTCTGTACTTCTCCTTCATGCTAAAGCCTCTGGCTTTCTTGAATGTGCTAAGCTCTTTCCAAACTCAAGAGTCTTTGCATATGATGTGTTCTTCCATACCATGCCAGTTAGAAATTTATTGCTTCTCAGCTCCAGCTTGATCTCTTGGCCTGTTTTGTTCAAACTTAGCTGGGGCCCTTTAAATTTTTTACTTTGCCAGGTGATAGGATATTAAACTTTAATTGTAGAGGGAATTAAGGAGGCATTACAGGAGGCAAAAGGTCTTTCCTGGTTTGGGTTCCCTTTCTTGAAGTCTCTTGGAGCATGGATGCATGGGCAGCTTGCTTGCTGATACAGGCTTTTACCACAGATGCAAGTTTTCTGGGCAATGAATTGCTATAATGCATACAGCTTGCAGCTTCTCCTGGAAATCACCCAGGGAACTTTTTATAGTAGGAGGCCTCTAAAATACTTCCCCACGAGCAGATTTTCCTGGAACTGTAGAGGACTTTTTTTTTTTTTTTTTTTTTTTTTAAGTAAGTTTCAGAAAATGGAGTTCCAGGAAGTTTTGCTGAGATGGACCAGTGACTTGACAGCCATTCAGTGAACTATGGACAGGAACTCTCCAGGCAGGTCTGAATCTCTGTCATACTAGTAACAGCTATTTCTTATATCTGATACTTTTATTTTTTCAGGGGTTTATTACTTTTTATTACACAATAAATTGTCATTCTAATCCTGTTATAGTTCATAATTCTTTATGTTGAATTTTCCCTATTCAAATTACTGTGTGGCCCTGCTTCCCTTCCACCTACTTCTCTCTGCAAGGTGTTGCTCTTCAACTTAAGATTCTCCTTGAACTCAAGGTTTTCCCTCACTATCTGCCTCAGTTCTGGGATTACAGGCATGCACCACCACACTTGGCACCATACGCTTTCTCTCTCTTGATTAGATTCATACTGAGAGACTATCTACTCTTGATTTGAAAATTTTATCATTTAGTGCTAATATCATTTCATCATGAACACCTTCTTCAGTTCCTTAAATCAAATCATACTCTTTTACTTTTCCTTCATACTACCTGCCACATTCTAAAACTGTCCATTCATTTGTGTGTTATCTCTCAATTCCTTTACTAGATAATAAGTTCTAAGAGGGTAGAGATTATGCTTAATGTATCTACTGCTATAGTTCCAGTGCCTATCATAGCGTCTGATCCAAGAAGCATGGGACAGGTCCTGTTACGAGTAAGTCACTGGTGGCAAGTAATTATACACATATCCACATATCCACAACACACACACACACACACACACACACACACACACACACACAATTTTTCCAGTCTATAAGCAGTTAGCAAGTTTATATGAGAAAATAAGACCTTCACAAAAACATAAAATAGTTAACGGAAGTTCTGAAAGAATGATAGAAGTCTTAAGTACTGGTTATTCAGGGACAAGCAAGACTTCTATGTTTAAAAAATATTTACATGTGCTGGGTATAGCAGTTCATGCCTTTAATCTGAGCCCTCAGGCAGAAGGAAGTAGATCTTTGGGAGTTTGAGGCCAGCCTGTTCTACATAGTGAATTCCAGGCCAACCAGGGCTATCTAGTCCCAACAACAGCAAAATAGAAAACAAGAAAAAGAATCCAAAACAAAGCAACAAAAAGTTTGCATCTTTCATAAATATCTATAGAAATTTATTTATTTTTGCTAACTGGAATTGGTACATTGCGTTATTAACCCGAGATTTAAAAAATAAATATAGCATTTATCTTTTATTTGTTCTATTCATGTGAGCTTCCTAAAATAAACAACAACAAAAAACTTAACTATAAGTTTGAGGGAAATTCTACTACAGGAATTTTCTAGTTCAGGAATTCTAGTACACTTTTGTTTGTTACTATTGGCAAGGGCTAGTCATTGTGTATATGTGGTGAAACCAGCTTTCTACGGGTGCTTATTTTGTTATGATTTGGACAAACCAGAGAATCGTGTAAAGTCTGGAGGGGTTGTCTCTCGCTCTTTACTTTCTGTCTCTGGCTATATATGCTTAGATACCTTCCAAGTGTCTCTGCAAATGAGCACGCCAAAATATCAGTTGAACAGTAATTCCCAGTGTTAAAAACTGTTCTGGCTGAAAGTCCATGGTTTGATGTATCATTCATATTGTACATTTTATTTAGTGAGGTTTGGCGTGTTAGATCTACATTTCAGTCTGGGTTCCTGCGCACGGTGCGCGTTTGAACCAGGGTGTTCACACAGGTTGCTCTGGAGCTAGCATCATTCCCCTTGCCTCAGTCTCTTTAAATGTTGGGATTATAGAGGGTATGGTGGCGCATGCCTTTACTCCCAGCACTAGGGAGGCAGAGGCAGGTGGATCTCTGGTGGATCTGTGAGTTCAAGGCCAGCCTGGTCTACATAGTGAGTTCCAGGCCAGCTGCTGCTATGGGGAGACCCTGGCTCAAAAAGAACAACAACAACAAAAAAAATTGGGATTACAAGAATGAACCAAGAGTTTGAAATTTTCAGTTCACACTGATCATAAAATAACTGGAGGATTTTTATTATTGTTTTTTATTTAGAACCACTTTCTGAGTATGTGTGTGCGAGGCATTGTACAAACAATGAGGACATGGAATACGTGATTTTTGTTCCCTAAATTTAGAATGAATTGACAGAGGAAGAAATTGAAGTCACAAAGGCCAGTTAGTCACTGTGGCCAACCACTTAAAATCACATTACTATTGCTGTACTTTTAATATTCCTATTAAGCAACGACAACAAACACCTTACCTTCCATAAAAAAATAAGGAATTTTTCAAAATATATTGTCAAACTGAAAACTCAATAAACAGTATTAAGGATTTGTGTGGTCACAGGCAAGAATTAGCAAATTAAGTATTTGAATGCTGAGCTGAACCGAAAACACCACTTAGCACTTGTAGGGAGAGTCTCAAGGTGAATTCCAACAGAAATAATGTAACTTCAATGGTTATAACGAGCGCTAGTCGGTTTAGCTACTTTACACGTGCGCTAACCGAGAGAAGTCTGGTATAAAGCAAGCTCAATTCGGAAAAGCGATCTTCCACCGCGCGGACTGCCAACATGCACTAGTTCGGCGCCTCGGCCTCCTGCCCTCACACCACCTCCTCCGGCGTTGGATGAACTTCCCTGGGTCAGCAGACTTCCATTTTTGACAACGGGATTATCGTCATTTTATTTTAGGTAACCACGTCTAGAACAGCGCCCAAACAGTCCTCTTTCCAGACGTTCCTCCTCCTACCAGCGCTCCTCGTCCTGCGGGGGGGGGGGGGGGGGGGGAAGAAGCCGGCTTCCCATTGGCTCGCCGTGGAGCATTGCTGGCTCTCGATTGGTTGAGACAAGGAGGCGGGAGAGAGGTGTGTCCCTAAGTCACTCCGGCCTGCACAGTCTCCTGGCTGCACAGGATTGTGGGAAGGAGGGGGAGCCTGGGAAGTACCAAATACCCGGAACGACCTTCGCAGGTCCGGGCCTTTCCTGTCCCGACCGTTTGTCTCCGCCCACCAGGGGGGCGGGCTCCGCCCCCACGCCGCCCGCGCGGCCGTCAGGTGATCGCCGGCAGTCACGGTCACGTGGCCTGAGCGGGTTCGCCCGTGCTGGCCATGGCGGCCGCCGTGTCCAGTGTGGTGAGGCGGGTGGAAGAGCTCGGGGACCTGGCTCAGGCCCACATACAGCACCTTAGCGAAGCCGCGGGGGAAGACGGTGAGGGAGCGGGGCAGAGGGAGGAGGGCGGACGCTGGGAACCGCGGAGGCGCGCGGCGGTCGGAAGGGATGGAGGCGCGGCCTGCGGTCCGAGGCGGGGTCCGGGGTCGTGGCCCACGGAGGGCTGCAGCCTCCGAGCCTGTCCCCTTTGGCCTGTCATTTGCCCTCTTCTCAGAAGTCATACTGCCAAAGTAGCGCTTTTCGTAAGCCTTGAAATCTGTTTTGTTTACATCCGAGACAGATGTGTGTTGTCGAGTCTGGGAAAAAGGAAGAGTGAAAAAAAGTACATATGGACATTTAAATAAATGATTTTACTGAGCGATGGTACTTAATGACGAATTTTGCATTCAGCAAACAGACATGCGTAGCAGTTCGCTTCTCATTACCTCGTAATTTTCCGTTTTATATTTTCAATTCAAAACTCAACTATAAATAAAAAGTATTCTACACTGGTGTAATTTAATTTTTTGTTTTGGTCACATCCTGGTTCTTACGAGGGCAGTGTATTAGAAGTTTGGAAATGTCTGAACTGTTTCCTTAGGAAGAAAAAACTTGGTTAGGGATTATGTCGATCTTCTGACATCAAACCCGTTTGCTTTTTATTACTTCTTAGTTGCCATTTGGGTCTACAGTACTTTTTGAAGCCCTCACGCAAACATAGCCTTTTAAATTCTTATGAATAGATTCATAAAAAAAGTAGAAAAACATTTTTCCAAGTGACTAAATAACTGGCATATTTATTGAATAGGTTCTACAATAAAATGGCTTTTTTTCAATAAGGAATATGCCAGACTATAACTTTTTAAGACCATGTTCTTCAGAAAACCACAGAGCACAGTGAAGCAGGATTCAGTAGTTATTACTTGGGATGTATCCAGGCTACTTTAACTTCTGGCTTTATTTGGATCAGTCTAGAGAATTCAAAACATAGTTTTTTATTTGCTTGTTACCGAACCTAACAGCTATTCTTATTTTCTTTTGAAAGAGGTCTTTAATCCATTGTAGAATTTGTTCTTGCTTGGAGGCTTTGTGCTTCTGGAAAACTGACTAAAATCACAACAACGAGCTGTTCACATTAGAGCAGCTAATTAAGCTGGGCATGGTGGTGCACGCCTTTAATCCCTGTACTTGGGAGGCAGAGGCAGAGGCAGGCAGATCTCTGTGAGTTCAAGCCCAGCCTGGTCTACATAGCTACTTCCAGGCTAACTGGGGCTGTAGGGAGACCATGTTTCAAAAAGACCAAAAAAAAAAAAAAAAAAACCCCAAAAAACCCCCAGTTTTAAAATTAATCTTACTTTTCTTTTTTTTACTTAAAAAAATATTTTTATGTGTGTGCATGTGTTGCCTGCAAATAGGTAAGTGCACCTATGTCATGCAATGCCCAAGGAGGACAGAAGAGACTGTTCTATCTCCTGGTACTGGAGTTATTGACAGTTGTTAATTGCCATGTGGGAAAATTAATCTTACTAAAGAATTACTAGCAGAATTTTCTTAAGTTTCCTTAAACTTGCCATGTATTTGAATTAAACTTGGTTATTCTTCATACAACCATAACAGTTACACCTTCGAAAATTGTCCTTTAACGTAACCATTATGTTGTTACTAAGCTGTCAGTATTGGTTGTTCCTATTGTTTTATTAAATTCGATACCATAAGGCTAGTCTTCATTCAGCTTAAGACTGTTGTTCTATTTATGGCCTTTTTTTTTGTTGTTGTTCACTTATTTCTCCCTAAAAGTATCTTATTTTCTTATGTGGAAATATGCTATAGAAAGGACTTTTCCAGAGAGTGTACAAGAGTCACTTTTATCTTTTGCCTTGCCTGTTGTTACCTGAAATATTTCTAGTAAAGAGTGTGGGTTTTTTTTTTTTTTTGTCTTTTTGAGACAGGGTCTCCCTGTAGCCCCAGCTGTCCTGGAACTCACTATGTAGACCAGGCTTGCCTTGAACTCACAGAGATCCGCCTGCCTCTGCCTCCCAAGTTCTGGGATTAAAGCTGTGCGCCACAATGCCCAGGTAAGAGTGTGTAGTTTTAAAAAATATTTTATTTATTATTTTTAGTGTACGAGTATATTGTCTGCATGTATGCGAGTGCACCCGTGTCGTGTAATCCCATGGAGCTCAGAGGGGGGCTTGAGATTCCCCTGGAACTGGAGTTAACAACGTTTCGTAGCTGCCATGTGGGTGCTGGGAATCGAACCTGGGTCCTCTACAAGAGCAGTCAGTGCTCTTAACCGCTGAGCCATCTCTTCAGCCCCTAAAGAGCATGTACTTTTAAGGGTTTCTCCAAAATGATAGCTTATGCCACCACTATAGCTCTCCAGTAGTAATTATTATGACATCTTCCCTCAGTAGTGACTTAGTTTAATATAAGTCTTTGCATTTAAACTAGTTTGGAAGTTAAGAGGAAAATATGAACAGCTTGTAAAGCTGTAAGGAATGCCATGTTCCCTACTGTTTTGGTTCTCAGTAGACTCTTATTTTCTGGGTTGTGTGATTGGTACTTCTGGGTCAAGGAGAGACAGGATGCTAAAGAGATGGTGTTCAGTTCAGGTGAATAGTGAATCTTACAGCAGCCAGAAGTCCACTAAATCTACAGCTTAGTGCTTTACCTGGGAAAACTAAAGGTCATTATATGATTGCCAGTGGATAGAACCTGATGGTGCCTTTGTTCAGTACTGAACAGCTTATCCCTTTATGTAACTGCAGAGGCTGGATCAGAGGCGACCAGACAACTGCTACATTGTTAGCAGATGATGAGGAAAGGCTCTGTATTTCAGAGGAAAGGTTAGAGACCTCAGTATCCAGTACTATAATAGGCATATTTAAATTTTACTACATGAGGTGATACAGAAAGGTGGCTCTTTTGGGGGGCTCACAAACTGAAGACAGGCAAAGGAAGTATGATAAAGGGGGAAAATGAGATATGAAGGTTGGAAAGCTGGGTGAGTTGCGGTTAGAAGGCATATCAAAGTATTTTGTTTCTTCTGGGTTTTAAAGGAATTTGGTAATTTGTTCCATATCAGAGTTTTAAAGGAATAAGATAACCTAATCATTATGTAATTTTAATTACAGCAGCTAGGAATATAATTATGATAAAGTTACAGTTGCCCAAAGTCTAATAGTTTATGAAGATTTTGTTCGGTCACTCATTCTTTTAAGAAACATTTGGAATTACATTTATGAAATTATATCTATTCGGTGGAAACTTTTTCTGTAGACTTGTGTAGTTTTTGTATTATTCCAGTACAAATTTTAAATTTGTTATTTAAACATTTTGAATGTATCAGCATTGCAAAAGAAGCATTATAAAAATAGATTGTGGGCTAGGGAGATGGCTGAGTGGGTAAAGAGCTTGCTGTGCTAACATGATGAACTGAGTTTGTATCCCCAGCACCATGTAAAGGCTGAATGGGCATGGTGGTCCACCTGTAAGCCCACCTGTAAGCTCTGGCTTTGGAAACAGGATCCCTGGGGTGAGCTGGCTAGCTGGACAAGCTGAGTCATAGCAATTGAGGAAGACACCTGATGTCAGTATCTGGCCTCTGCATGGATCGCCACACATATACACTCACATATATGTGAAGACACATGTACATCATGTATACTACACATGCAGTACCCCTCTCCCCAAAGAAGCTAGCCTTGCTTAATTCCCAAATAAACTCACTTAAAAAAAAATATTGACTGGGGCTGGAGAGATGGCTCAGCGGTTAAGAGCACTGACTGCTCTTGCGGAGGACCTGGGTTCAATTCCCAGCACCCACATGGCAGCTACAAACCGTCCTTGACTCCAGTTCCAGGGGAATCCAATACCATCTTCTGATTTCTGCGGCACTGCACGACATGGGTGCACTCACATACATGCAGGCAATACACTTATAAAATTAAAAAACATAATAATATTGACTGCATTTAAAAAGTAGCAACATTGAATCTAAAAATCTTTCACTCCTTTGCTTTTGATAATGAATTTCCCTAAGTTACCTAATGATTGGGTATTATGTATGAAATACTTCATGTTTTAGGTAAGATATTACTACCTTGTTTATCCATGTGCCATAATATAGTTTCATCACATCATTTCACATACATAACTTTTTTTTGCTTTAATGGGACTTTGAATATATGTTAATCATGTTTTTATTTTTTACAGATCATTTTTTAATTCGGGCCTCTGCAGCTTTAGAAAAATTGAAACTCCTTTGTGGAGAAGAAAAAGAATGTTTAAATCCATCAAATCTTCTGGAACTGTACACACAGGTACTAAAATGTGAACTCTGGCTTTTTTTCTGCCTTTGGTGCATATGTGTCTGTGTGTATGTGTGGTATATGTATGTGTTTGTATGGATATGTGCACATGTGTGTGCCTGTTATATACATATGTGCCTTAAGAGGTTGATGTTGGGTGTCTTCTTCAAATACCTTTATTTTTTATTTAAAAAAAATTTAAATTTATGTGTATAAGGTTTTTGTCTGCATCTGTGTAAGTGTACTCAAGTCATGTAGTTCCTGAAGAGGCCGGAAGAGATCATCATATCCCCTGGAACTGGAGTTATATATGGTTGTTAGCCTCATGTGGGTGCTGGGAACTGAACCTGAGCCCTCTGTAAGAACAGCCAGTGCTCTTAACCACTGAACCATCTTTCCAGCCCTTCTCACTTTTTTGTTTTTTTTTTTGAGATAGGGTCTCTCAATGGACCTGTAGTTCATAGATACAGCTAGACTAGGTGGCCAGAGATTTACCTGATTTTGCCTCCCAAGTACTGGGGTTACAGGTGCTCACCACCACACCCAGCTGTCTACATGCATGCTGAGGATCTGAACTTGAGTTCAGATGCTCACATGGCAAACACTTTATTGACTGAGCTCTCTTCTCAGCCCCTGAACTCTAGCATTTTGAGGGTAGATTGATAAAGTGGTAAACTGCCAAAGTTTAATTGAAATGAAATAAAATATTAAAGTCTTGTATTTTAACAACAGCAACAACAAAAATCTTCATTTATATAAGGTATTGTACAAAGCAGTAAGATTTACTAGATGTGATAAGAATATTAATATTAACATTATTAATAATAACTAGTCAGAATACTATTGTGCTGGATAGCTTTAGTGTCAACTTGACACACCTAAGTTGAGGGAGCCTCAACTGGGGAATTGCCTCTATTGGACTGGCCTGTGGCCATGTCTGAGGGGCATCTTCTTGATGAGTGATGTGGGAGGGCCCAGCCCACTGTGGGTGGTGCCATCCCTGGGCAGGTGGGCCTATGTAGCATAAGAAAGCAGGTTGAGCAGGGGCCAGGGGAGCAAGCCAGTAAGCAGCATTCCTCCATGGCATATGCTCCAATTCCTGCTTCTAGGTTCCTGCCCTGAGTTCCTACCTTGGGCTCCCTGATGAACTGCGACCTGGGAGATGTAAGCTGAATAAACCCTTTCCTCCCTCAAGTTGGTATTGGTCAGAGTATTTTGTCACAGCAATGAAGAAAAAAAACCAGGACAACTGGTATATGCAGTATCTTAAGACCTTGAATATTTGGAGAGTAATGCCTTATATTTTTCCTCTGAAATTCACTTGGCCTTAGAATGCTAAATATTACTCTCTTTGGTATTTTCATACATATCTTTCTGTTCTACTCTTTCACTTTCTTTTCAAATTCAGTCCTCTTTGGATGACACCTGTTTTCTTGGTCTTTTCAAATACTGCTGAGGCAAGCTGACATTAAGAAATAATGTCATTTTAGTAACTGATACTTGTATAGCACTGTATAGCACTTTATAGTTGGTAAAGCGCTTTTGTAGGCCCTTTCTTGATTGCTGAGGGTTAATAAACATGAAGTAGTTATAGAAAACTTGGTTAAGTTTTCAGAGTACCAGTTTATAATGTTGATAAACTGGGTATAGCACTGCACTTTCTCATTGGAGGTACATACAGATGGTTTCTGCCTCCACTCGTGGCTGAGTGAGCCTGTGACAGCTGTTAATAAACCTCTAAGACCCGATTTGGCAGTTACCTTGCCTAGTTTTCTTTCCTTTCAAACTTTCCTTGTCTCTTGTGAATATCATCTATGTCTTTCAGATGAAGGTCTTCTAAACATTTTAACTCCAAAAGTGTAGCAAAAGACCTGAAAATACAGATTTAAATTGTATATACCTTCTTGAACTTTGTTCATGTTTCCTCTCCCGTGGGATACTGATCTCTCTCCTGGCTGAGGCCTTATCTCTTAAATATCACTAACTGTGCTAGGTAGTGCTTGAAGGGTTTCCCATATATTCATTTTATTCTCAAAGCAAAGTATTTTGAAAGGTGCTGACTTGTCCTTGGTTAATTTGGTGACCAGTAGAAAAACTACCCCTCACTACAACCTTGTTTCCTTAGTTGTAATCCAGCAGATTAAATTAAGTAAAAAGGATTAGGAGTTTTACAGTACTTAAACTGAGTTTTACATTTAAGGCTGCTGGGTACTTCATGTGTGAACTGCTTGTGTTGATGACGTGCTTCCACTATGGAGTGGCTTGGGAAAACAAATCCCCTGAAGATTCAATATAGAAAAACTAGAGGAAGACCATAATGTTTCAAGCGTCTAGAAAAATTTTAGGGGCATACATTTGTAAATAGTAAATAATGTAACAATTGTTTACATTTTCATAATTATGTTACATATGACTAACATATTAATTAAACATAAGTATTTCTTGAAACGAAATAATCATTAATCTATTGTATTAATAAAATGCTTATGAGTTTTCTGTAGTGTCACAAATTGCATTTATAGCTAGGCATTTTGCTTACTTCCCCAATTTAAATACTACACTAGGATGCTTGAATGCCTAATCAAGCATCTGCATATGTGAAGTTAAACTCTTAGGAGTTACTTTATCAAGTTTCAGTCTTTTACACATACTTTTTCCTCTTTGTCTTAAGGCTATTTTGGACATGACATATTTTGAAGAGAACAAGCTAGTAGATGAAGATTTTCCTGAAGACTCTTCTCCACAGAAAATAAAAGAGCTGATCAGTTTTCTTTCAGAACCAGAAATTTTAGTTAAAGAAAACAGTATGCATCCAAAAGTAAGTTTTATACTTCCGTGAATTTTGATACAATACTGTTGTTCTTGCTGTCCTGCACATTAGTAATGACTCTGTTTCTGTTATTCATGGGTATAATTTTGTGTTCGTTTTAAATTAATATTGAAGGAGGGAGATAAGAGCTTAACACTACTAACCACTGTCTCAGAAAAGTTTTATATTTTGCTAAATATTTTTAGACTATTTACATAATGAAATCATAATTGCTGTGCACTGTCTAACCCTTCTCTAAGCATAGATATTCCCCCTTTTCCCTTTATTTTTACAGTGCTGTATTTTCTTGAAGGTCATAGCAATCTCATTACTACATTTACAGTTATTGTCGTCATGAACATTTGCTCTCCTGCTTGCTAGTATTGATCCCCCATCTATAGCATGCTCATTCCTCTTTCATCTTGAGGTTTTCTCTACCCTTGTCAAAACTCTCCTTTTTGTTTTCGAGTCTCCTTCATCCTCTGCTAGTGGCTGTCTATCTGTCTTCGATAGCCTCTTCACACATTTTCATTGTCCTCAATAGTTAGGTTTCTATCTCTAGTCCTAGATAATCTTATTATTTTTTTACATTTATTTATTTGCTGTGTGTGTATTCCATTGAGTATGTGTGGAGGTCAGAGAACAGCTTGCTGGAGTCCATTCTCTCCTGCTACCATGTGGGGTCCAGAGATTGAAGCCAAGTTGTCAGGCTAGACAATCAGTGGCATTACTTGCTGAGCCATCTCACCAGCCCTGCTGGATATTCTTACAAGCAAATTATTTCCCATATTTAAGTGCCTGCTGACTATCAACCTAAATGTCTTCTTTGCTCTTATATTGTTTAGGACAGGCTAGCTGTAGAAGCAAATTACCTCAAGATTTAAAGGCCACTCCAACATAAACATTTTGATTATTTAAAATTATTTTTATGTGTGCCTTTTCATTATTTTAGCAATTTAATTGTTATTAGATTTGCTAGTTTCTATTTCTTGATACTAAAATAGATATAATGCTAATTCAAGTAATGTATTTCTAAAAGGGGTACCTTTTTAATGAGATAATGAACTTTGCATATTCCAAGTAATGGAGAGGAATTTGCTACTATACTATTTCAAGTTATTTTGTAAGACTGTTTGTAAATATAGTGCTATTTTGTTGTATATGTGCCAGTATTTCAACGTTTCGATTCAAACATAAGCATTCCTGTGTAAATTAGCTAAACATGGCCACATTCTATGACATGAAAGTGCCTTTAATTTCTTAGTTGTTTGGAATTTGATTTCTGCACACAGAAGGCTCTCTTTTTAGCTTTGCCTTTTTTGTTGCAGCCTTGTAGTTTGCTTGGGGATGAGCTCCTGGAATGTCTGTCTTGGAGACGAGGAGCCCTGCTGTATATGTATTGTCATTCTCTGACTAAGAGAAGGGAGTGGCTCTCAAGAAAGTCGAATTTGCTTCAAAAGGTAAAAAGATATTTTGTGTATTTTCTGTTTTCTAATGTCTTTGAGATAGGCTCTCACTATGTAGCTCTGGTTGACTTAAACTTGCTGTATAGATCAGTTTGGCCCTTAATGCCCAGAGATCCCCTGCCTTTTCCTCGCTACTGCTGGGATTAAAGGTGTGTACCACCATACCTTATGTATATTTTTGATTGTTGACATTTATAGGTTTCAAAAGATCTTTGTAATTTATAATGACAGTAGTGAAATAAAGGATCTTGGCTTACATTTTAGGCCTATTACTTATTAGCTATATAATTTCAAATTGGAACTGTCTGTGAAGACTAAGATAACTCATGAAAGAATTTCATCATTAAAGGAATTCTACATGTTTTAAGTTCTTGATTTTTATTTTATTATAAGTAAGCTATATTAATTTCTAAGTATATTTTCTTTGTTCTGGAGGAAATAGTTTTGTTGAACCTCTTTGTCAACAGATCACCCCTAACAAGCCCACATGACCCTGCTCCTGAAACAGTATGACCTGTGATTCATCTAGACTATTCTAACGAAGTCACTATTCCAAACTTAGTATTGTGTCACTAAGAATTCCAGCTCAGGCTAAAAGTACTCACAGTTTATGTAGGCTTAGAAATGGGAGGTTATACTTTCAGATATAAAAATTTAAGCCAGGTGTCATGGTGCACACTTTTTAATCCTAGTACTCGAGAGGCAGAGGCAGGTGGCTCTCTGTGAGTTCAAGGCCAGAATGATCTACATAGCAAGTTCTAGATGAGCTGGGGCTACAGTTAGACTCTGTCTCAAAATGACCAAAAATAAGGAGAAAAAACATTTAATACAATATTTTTTGAATTTTAAAAGGCGGGTACAGGGCTGAAAATAGAGCTCAGCAGTAGAGCACTTGCCTAGCATACATGGGGCTTTGGTTCAATTCTAGCACTTTTTCTTCCATATTCTTCTTATTTAGAAGAGTGAGTCCTCATGCCATTGGAATATGATAATCATTATATATACCTGTATATTAGTCCATTTTTCTCTTGAATAAAGAATTAAAAAAAAAAAGCTTGTCGTAGTTCTTTATATAATACTTTAAATTCTTTGGCTTTGATTTTCATTTAGTACCTTGTTGATGGAATCACTTACTTGCTGCAGATGCTAAATTACCGATGCCCTATCCAGTTAAACGAAGGAGTTTCTTTCCAAGACCTAGACACAGCTAAATTACTAAGTACAGGTAATGTGATTTCTTTTTAAAGTTTTCTAAGTGGTTTTTTAAGATTTTAGAAAGCTTCCTAACTTTATTCTTGTTTGAATTTCATTCTAGGTTATAAATAAACCAAAGCTTTTAAAGCTTTAAAAGAGATTCAACTAAAATCTTTTCATATAATGTAGAAAAATACTTTTCTTTTTTGAGAGTTTCCCTATAGCCCCAACTCACCTGGAATTCACTATGTAGATCAGACTGAGTTGGCCTTGATTTTGCAGAGATCCACCTGCTTCTGTCTCTGCTGGGATTAAAGACATGCACCACCATGCCTGGTGAAAAGTACGTTTTTAAGAAAAATATTTATTTTTAATATTTTATGTATGTGAGTGTATTGTCTGCATATATGTACGTGTACCCTTGTCATGCAGTGCTTGCAAAGGACAGAAGAGGGCATTGGATCCCCTGGAACTGGAGTATCAGATGATTGTTAGCTGTCATGTGGGTGCTGGGAATTGAACCTAGGTCCTCTGCAAGGGCAGCCAGTGCTCTTCGCTGCTGAGCCATCTCTCCAGCTCCAAGAAAAAGGTGTATTTTTTTTCTTTTCCATTTATGTGTATGTGTGTGGGTTTGTGTGAATGAATGTATGCTGAGTATGTCAGTGCCCACGGAGTCCAGAAGAGGGCGCCCTGGAGCCAAAGTTATAGGCAGTTGTGAGCAGCCCGATGTGGGTGCTGGGAGTTGAACTCAGATCTTCGAGAAGAACAGGAAGCATTCTTATGAGCCATCTCTCTAGCCCCCTAGCAGAGTACTTTTAATCTGTTTTTTTTAATTTAGGAGTCTGTATCATAGTTACTTTTGCTTATATTCATTTTAACCAGAACTAGATTTGGCTACAGATACCATACTAGAAGTAACTTTTGAAGAAGATAGACATTTAGGGTTTTTTTCATATAAAAAAAGTCCAGAGCTAATAGTTCCATGATATGCTTGTACCATTTTCCTCCGGCCTATTGGAGTTGGAGCCCTTTAGCTTCAGAGGAAGGCCTGTGTTAGGAAGCACAGTATGAGTGATTTTTCCAGAGTTGTGCAGCACGCATCACTGTTTGGCATATTGCTTGTGTTCTCAGTATGCCATGTGTATTCTGGTTTTAGGTTTTTGGAGTGACAGAATGGAATTTCTTTAAACCAAGTCATCGCCTTTAGAGCAGTCTTGTCAGAAACAACACTGCCACTTATTTCACTGGCCAGCATTTAATGCAGTTACTTCACTTAGCTGTATGGAGACCTGGGAAGGATAGTTCTTAACGTGATAAATTGCCATCTAAATTATGGTTCCACTTAACTCCTTTTAAAAATATTTATTATTTTTATGTGTATGAGTGTATTGCTTGCATGTAGGTAGGTGACTGCAGAGGTCAGAAGAGGGTATTGAATTCCCCCGAAACCAGAGTTACAGACAATAGTTAGCCGCTGTGTGAGTGCTGGGAATTGAGCATGGGTCCTCTGCAAGAGCAGTCACTGCCCTTAACCACTGAGTGATCTCTCTAGCCCTGAACTCTGTTTTAAAAAATATTTCAGTAAACCAGGTGTGGTGATGCACACCTTTAATCCCAGTACTTAGGCAGAGGCCAGTGAATCTCTGAGTTCCAGACGAGCCTGGTCTACATAGTGAGTTCCAGGCCAGCTGGGGCTACAGGGAGACCCTGTCTCAAAAAAAAACAAAAAAATTTTTTTAAAAATTATTTTTAGGTGTACGAGTGTATTGCTTACATGTAGGTAGGTGCACCTGTGTCGTGCACTGCCTGCAGAGGTCAGAAGAAGGTGTTGAACACCCCTGAACTGGAGTTACAGATGGCTGTTAGCCACCATGTGTGTGCTGGGAATTGAGCATTGATCCTCTGCAAGAGCAGCCAGTGCTCTTAACTGTTGAGCCATCTTTTTAGCCCCTGCACTGAACTCTTAATCTGGGACACTGTTTAAAAGGAAAAGGTGAGGGTGGCCCCTAAAGCCTATTTAGAACCAAAGAAACAAGCCACATATCATCCTCCCATTCTTAGTTACAATGTAAGAAGAGTTGTGGCCTGGAATTCTCTCTTCCAGGGGCCCATGACCTTAGTGCCTTCTCCAGATAATTTGAATATGTTATCTGCTAACTTCAGTTGTTTCTTTTTAGAATAAAAATGTTCAGGTAATGCTCTTAAAGTATTTCCCAGGGAAAAAGAAAATAACATGGACAGCACAGTAGTTTTGCTACAGATCTCAGTCCTCTTTGGATGTCACTGTTTTTGTTCTCATGTAAAGAAGGTTGTTTGACCCTAATCCACCTTACTGTAAATGATGAAGTTACTAGCTAGGAAATCTACATCTTATAGACTGAATTCCTCCTAAGGCGTTGTCAAGAGAGGCTCTAATTATATTTTGTTAGCCAATCTAAAATGTAATTCTTATTATTTAGGAAGAAATTCATAATGTTTGAGGAAAAAGGTTTATAGTATTCTGACTATTTAAAGAGAAAAGTTATATATGAGGCATCAATATATTTTTGTGACTAGATCTTGGTGGTAATTTACCCAATTTTGGATAAAACCACAAAAAATCTTTGTAAGTATGATTATTTACTTTTGATAATTAAAAGAGAACTTAATTGCATTAGTTCTTTGGGTACTACCTGTCTGATAGTAACATTTTAGCTATTGAAAATTTGTAAATGTATATAAGCCTCCTGTTGTCACTATTGAACTAAGTGCTAGAGGCTGAGAATTGTGATGTTTAGGTATGGCCTTCTCAGCTAAAAGGATTTATAGAAACACCTTTATCACAGTGTATCTGATATCAAATGGTAAAAATCAAAATACTGTCCAGCTTTCATGTCCTTGGTTTATGCCCTTTTAAAATACCACTGAAGACCCTTCCTCCTTTGCAATCCTTTAGGTAATACAGAACCTGGATTTCAGTCTCATAAACAGCAGCTCTGTACTGTTACTGTCAGCTCAGCTGCCTGGGTATATTATTAAAAATACAGGTTTCTGTGTACTCCATACAAGTTCTAATGAAATATGTAAAGTCCTGAATTGTTAGAATGCAGTCAGATTTGGACATTACTACTTCCAAAAGATACCTGTCTGGCCACATTTTATATATGTGTATATATAATGTCATCTTTCACTCATTCTTCATGATTTATTATGATATTATCTTTCCATCACTAAAAAAATAAAACATGGCAACCAAATTAAAAGGCAGAAAGATTTGTTTTTGCTCAAAAGTTCAGAGATAAATTCATTAAATGATTGAGCAGTGCATGGTATTGCAAAGCTCTTTCACTCTGATAGCCAGGCTACAGAGAAAGGAGGGGTGAAGTCCCAATATAACCTTTAAGGTCAGGTCCATAGTGACCTAACTTTAATCGACATTGTCCACTAAAGGGTCCTCTATTTTCCACCAAAAGTTGGTGATCAAGCCTCTGTTTTTTGTTTTGTTTTGTTTTGTTTTGGTCTTTTTGAGAGAGGGTCTCCCTGTAGCCCCAGCTGGCCTGGAACTCGCTCTGTAGACAGGCTGGACTCAAACTCACAGAGATCCCTGCCTGCCTCTGTCTCCTGAGTGCTGGGATTAAAGACGTGTTCCACCATTGCCTGGCTTAAGCCTCTAATACATGACCTTTGAGAGGATATTCCAGATACAAGCTGTAACAATTATTTTCCCTCTCTTTCCCTGCCCTACTGTCATATGTACATTTATTATAGCTATGCAGTGGTTTTGAAAAAATAGATTCTGAATTTTAACTGGAAATTAAGTATCAAGGAAAATTCACAGAAGCAAAACCCACAAATATATACGTTCAATCTCATACCTGATTCTTATACTCTAAGATTGAGGCCCAGCAATTAGCATTTTAGTAGGTATGCTAGGTAATTCAAATACAGGCTAATGTTTGTGAACTACTCTAGCTAAATATAGTCAGACATTGCCTCTCTACTAGCACCTTCCCATGTGAGTTGTGTGTCCTTTGGTGAGCAGTATCTAGTTTTTTCTATGATACTTATGATATTTAATGGAACTCACTATGGAGACCAGGCTGGCCTCGAATTCACAGAGATCTGCCTGCTTCTGCCTCCCGAGTACTGGGACTAAAGGTGTGTGCCACCATGCCTGGCCCATACTTATGATCTTTTAACTACAAAGGAGTAAAGTAAAAAGAAATTATTTTGTGTGGTAATATGCATTGTATTTAAGCAGAAATTGTTTTCTACATAGAAAATATAGTGTGGCCTTTTATTTTCATGAATGAGAATCTCAGATTCTGCTACTCAAAGATTTTTCTAAATTGAAACAGTGCTTTAATGAGTCAGAAATTCTGCTGAACCTGTTACTTCTCTGGGTACTGTTTTTAAGTAGATTTTGAAGTGGTGTGAAAGTGACTGGCTCTAAGGACAATTTCTGGGACTTTAGTAGATTCAAACTGTGGGAACTGCAGCCTGCTACTCCAATAGTCATAGTTTCTGTTGAGATGTTTAGGTGACATCGTGCTCATTTATTTGAGGTAAACTGCTTATCACACAAGTACTTGTACATTACAATAAACCATTTATTTGTGCTTTAATGACCTTAAGAAGTTGAATGATCATGTATACATACCACTTTATGTTTTAATTATTTATTTTTTAGTCTTTCGGTTTTATTGAGAAGTTTTCAGTATGTAGCCCAGTTTGGCTTGGAACTCCCATGGAATCTCAGGAAGCTGGTCAGCAGCTGTAATCCTCCAGTCTCACTTCCCAGAATATTGGGATTATGTGTGTCTTAGTCTGTTTCTTCATTGCTGTGACAAAATACTGTGACCAATACCAACTTGAGGGATGAAAGGGTTTATTTAGCTTACATCTCCCAAGTCGCAGTTCATCAGGGAGCCCAAGGTAGGAACTCAGGGCAGGAACCTGGAGGCAGGAGCTGGAGCACAGGCCATGGAGGAACACTGCTTACTGGCTTGCTCCCCTGGCCCCTGCTCAGCCTGCTTTCTTATGCTACATAGGCCCACCTGCCCAAGGGTGGTACCAACCCACAGTGGGCTGGGCCCTCCCACATCATTCATCAAGAAAATGCCCCTC